TTTGTTGATATTAAATTACCTTTATTTGATTTTAAATTTTCTAACTCTTCTTTTGGTAGATGAGTTTGACCACGATAGAGTTTTAGAACTGATTGGCAATTTTGTTGTTTATGAGTATCTTCTAATTGTTTACATAAATCAGTAATATAGTAACGAAATAAATACCATAATGTTATATCTTCAGTACGAAATGCAAGATTTACTAAACGATATACAAATGAATCTTCCGTATACCAATCAATTGCTTTATCTTGTGTATAAGTATTACCAAATAATTCAATACATTTAAGTTGTGTTTTATTATTTCTATAACAGATTTTACATTTATCCAACATAGTATCTTTTGCTTCTTTTCTTTGAGGAATTTGTCTTAAAAAATCAGTAAATAACATATAGAAATAATAAGCACTATCATCAATACCAGTATTTTGTGATGCAATTAATGAACGTAATGAATTTGATTTTCGATCAGTGAATAAATTAAGTTTTAATGATGGTAATTCGCGTTGAATACTATTTTTTAATGTTTCATGTTCAGTACAAATATCAATTATTTTTCGATTAGTTTCCTTTAAATGTTTGTATCTATTAGAATTTCCACAAAATATTATTATTGTTGCAATAATATCGATGTTGTGTAATGGAATTTTATCAGCAAATTTTCCAGATACTATAAGTAGGATTTGTTTATCATTATTTCTCAGTCTTTCTATCTCGACTAAAAATAAATTAACATCATTAAAGAATAAACAATGATTATTATTTAATTCACGAATTAATGTTTTTGTACGTAAAGAATCAAGAGAATTTTCTAATGCATTATGATCTAACCAGATCAATATAAATTGATCGATTGATTCGTTATTCAAGAGACGACGAGAAAGTGAAGAATTGGTTGATGGAGATGGTGAATTATTTTCGATTTGTTTATTGTTCTTATTACCCATTTCTAAAAGTAAAAAATTAAGTTATTCAAAGGCAATATTTTATTTACATCTACGAATAAACACAGTCATTGCTCGTAAGTATATATCGCTAACGTCATGCGCACATATATTAACAGAAAAAAAAGGTAATGTTTTCTTCCTATCGTTAGACGTTTTATGTATACTACCAGACGTATTTTTGTTTGAAATTACTTGTTTGTACGCCGTTATTGTAGACATGTCGGATTTAATAGATTTCTCCGATATAGATGGTCCACTGGAACAACCTTTAGTTGATAATTCATCTCATAATAATATCCAGTTCTTTCGAAGGAAAAGAATATTATTTTCTATTGGTAGTATAAGCTTAATAATGATTATTATTGCACTAGTTGTAAGTACGATATTATTATTATATAGGGGAAATATCATCTCGGAACGGTGGATATACCGGGCTTTCGTAACCCGAAAGCCCTGTCATTTTTTTTCAACAGGGCTTTCGTACCTGAGTTTAACTGGGCTTTCGTATCGATTTTGGCAGGGCTTTCGTATCGAATTTTAACGGGGCATTCGTAACGAATTTTTTATTGTATTGATACGTAAGCTAAAAGACTAATACTCCATAAGAAAACAAAGTATTCGTTGCGAATACTCTTGAGAGTATATATATATATATGTATATATGTTTAGTTAGTAAGTACGATCCATTCGTAACATCAACTATTAGTAATGATCCGAATATCTTTTACTGTCTCGTAAATTTATCATCCATATATCCCCATAGATGTCATTGTTATTTTCTAATCTCAATAGAGGATTACATAATAATAAACAATGGAGCAACAGATGAACCATTGGTAAACAAATACATTTGGGTGACGGTGTGGGTGGGTATGGGTGTGAGTATTTTTTTATCACATACCCACACCCACCCTTCATTTATATTCTGGTTCTTTCTTGCTACTCTTAAACTTTGTTCATGGTTACTTTAATAAAATACTTACATCAATACGAAAGCTCTGTTGATAGTATTTAATTTGAGATAATATTAATAATTTTGGCTTTACGATAACCCTGTACGAGCGGTACGAAGACCCTGCAAAAAACGATACGAAGGTCCTGTAAAATGTATAGGTACACTTTGTCAATACGATACGAAAGCCCTGTCAAAACTGATACGATATTCCTGTAAAATCGATAAGAAAGTGCATTAAGTTTTGATTACGAAAGCCCTGTCAATAAGGCGATACGAAAGCCCAGTAAAACTTAAAAAAACACTGGGCTTTCGTAACCGACCGTTCCGAGATAATACTTTCTCATTATATACTGGAAAACAACAACAAAAATCAACACCTATAAACGAGTTTGTGATATCGACAGAATCGGCTAAAAGCACCACGTCTAGCATAACTGCTGAATTAGAATTATCTAGTAAGTACCGTTTTCTCCTTTTATGTTTATTAATATTATATGACCGTTCTTATAGTTCGATGAAAGTACGTATATTCATATAGGACATACAAGGAGAAAACAAAGAGTGTAAAGGGCGACAGACATCGAACGTTTGCGCATGAATAGCTTTGCACATAATGTAAATGAATACAAACATATACTTCATATTTCGAAATAGCTTTTATCTAAATGGATTCCGATCCACTATATCTTTCACATGATCCTTTACTTAATGTCCCAAATGATGAAACTAAACAACCATCTCCGACTAAACGATATAAGATTATTATCATTGGATTATGTTTAGTAGTATTTCTTCTTTCAATAGCTTTAAGTTTGGTATTTGTAGCTACAAGAAAACAACAGTCATCATCGATAACAACAAATACAAGTATGACAACAACATCTACGTCTACCAGATCAAATCAATTAAAGTCAACAATGAAACAGCAAGGCTTGTACTTTTTTTTGTATATAATAGAAATATATATTCTATTTTTAGTATTAGACAATTGCTTTGCTACCAGTTGGAATCCAGTTGGAGAAACACTAGTCAAAGTTGATCGTGTATCTACGTTAGCTGTAGACAATGATTTTAATATATATACTTCGGATGTGAGTGTACGTGCTTTACAAAAGTGGCTTCCAGGTGCTGATAAACCCATCAATTTGTTTGAAGGACATTTTCCAGAGACGCCTATTTTTTATCATTCATTGACCCATTCACTTTATTTCTTTATCGTATTTAAAGATACTCCCGGTGTATATAAATTAGTCGATGGAAATTCAACACCGGTGAATGTATTCAGTTCGAATGGAAGAGGCTGGAATATAGATCAACTTGATAACTCTTGTAGAGGATTATATGTAAATACAGCGGGTGATGTATTTGTATTAGATGAGGGTCGCCGTCGTATCGTCAAATGGATGGTAAATGCCACATCAGGAGTACTGGTTGCGGGTCGAAAAGAAGATGAATCCAATTCTGATCAGTTACCATCGCCATCAGGATTATATGTAGATGAAATTGACAATTCAATATACGCATTAATAGACTCCAGTGGTCGTCAGATTAAAAGATTCTCAAATGGATCAGTATATGGAGTGACTATTTTTGGTGGTGGTCCTTCTACAGTTCTCTCTGATCTAGTATCAGACTATATAGAACCTCAGTCGATGATAGTGGACAAAATGGGTAATATTTTAGTAAGTGAAAAATCTAAAATTACCAGATGGACACGAGACATTACGTTTGCTGGTATTATTATTGGAGAAAGTTTAGGTGGCAGTGCAACAATTATAAACTCTCCAAAGATAATGAAATTTGACAAGTTAGGAAACTTGTATGTTTATGACGAAGGAAAAAAACAAATTTTTAGATTCAATGTTAATTCTACTTCGTGCATAAATAATCTACATTAACTGATGAATCGAAAAATCAAAATTATTTTGAATATTGTATTAGATGTGTGAATTTTATGTAAAAAAAAATAGTAGAAAATAAATAATACAAAAAAATTATTAACTATTCATAGTCATATAATTTTTGAATGATTTATCAATCTTAGTTAATTTTTTTTGTATGCTCTATTTCCAGAAATACATTTAAAAAGATAAGGCGACAAAATAAAAACATTTAAAGCCAATAGAGTGCGACATCACATTTGTAATTACATCTACGAATAAATACATTGATTATACTTGAAGTTATATTTTCGATAACGTCACGCGCACATATACTGATAGAAAAAAAAAAAGTAAAATATTTTCTTCATATTATTAACCACGTTGCGCACATCGTCACAGACATCTTATTCTGAAATTGTCTCTTGACTTGATACAATGAATTTTGACGAGTTAGGTCCTCCTGCTGAAGTTCAGCCTCTTAATTCAGATTCTACAAACTATCAACAGCCTCAAATAAAGATAAAAGTAATTCTTCTTGGTATTACCATTGTGACAGTGCTTGTTATTATATTAATTATGGGTACAGTATGGACCTACTCTAGAGAGCAGCCACAAAAACCGATACCAATTAACGAATTTAAGATGTCGACTAAATCGTCTACAAGTATCATATCTAGTACAACTTTACCAAAAATTAAATTAGAATCATCTAGTAAGCAAACTGTTGTCTTTCTTGATGTTCTTTTAGTTTATATTCTATATGAGTACCCTTATAGTTCGATGAAAATACGTATATTCACCTAGAACAAACAACGAGAAGAAAGTGTGTAATAGGTCACAAACAGCATACGTTATGCGCATGAGTAGCTTTATACATGTTATGAATCAATATAAATACATACTTCACATTTTGAAATAATTTTTAATTAAACTTAGACTGAACGATATAAGATTATTATTATTGGAAAATATTTAATAATATCTATTTTCTTTTGTAGCAATAAAAAAAGAACATTCTTCGTCGATAGCAATAAACACAGGTATGATTAATTAACTGTTCATAAAATCTTACAATATTGTTTTTAGGATCAGAAATTTGTGCTGCAACAAGGTGGAATCCAGTTGGAAAAAAGTTGGTGAAGATCGAGCACGCATCATCTCTAGCTGTAGACAATGATTTCAATGTATATGTTGCCAATTGGGATACACATACTTTGCAAAAGTGGTCTCCAGACACTAATGAACTCATCAATTTGTTTGAAGAACAATTTCCAGAGACTCCTATTTTCTACCACTCATTGACTCGTTCACTTTACTTTTTTTACGTATATAAAGATATTCCTGGAGTATTTAAATTAGTCGATGGAAATTCATCACCAGTGAATGTATTCAGTTCGAATGGAAGAGGCTGGAATTTAGATCAACTTGATAGTTCTTGTAAAGGATTATATGTGAATGCAGCGGGTGATATATTTGTACTAGATCAAGGTCGTCATCGTATCGTGAAATGGGTAGTAAATGCTACATCAGGAGTGCTGGTTGCGGGTCGAAAAGAAGATGAATCCAATTCTGATCAGTTAGAATTTCCATCAGGAATGTATGTAGATGAAATTAATAATTCAGTATACGTAATAACAGACATGATGGGTCGTCGAATTAAAAGATTCTCAAATGGATCAGTGTATGGAGTGTCTGTTTTTGGTGGTGGTCCAAGTAAATATCTTTCCGAAATAAAATCAGAATATGTTGAACCTTTATCGATGATAGTGGACAAAATGGGTAATATTTTAGTAGGTGAAAATTCTAAAATTACGAGATGGACATCTGATATAAAGTATAATGGTATTATACTTGGAGAAAGTTTAGGTGGCGGCGCAACACATTTTTATACACCGCAACTAATGACATTTGACAAGTTAGGAAACTTGTATGTTTATGACAAATCAGATGGACAAGTGATTAGATTTGATGTTAATTCTACTTCATGTATAAATAATCTTCATTAATTAGTACATATAAAATTGATTTGTATTAGGTGTGTGAATTTTATGAAAAGTGTTTCAGTATAATATAAAATAAAAGGTAACATATCCAATAAGAAAGATCGAATTTTATTCTTAATTATGGAATTATGTTATAACGAGCAAACGGAGTATATATTATCTATTGGCGATGATGCAGAACAAAAAAGTCTTTTTTACTTATCATCTTCTGTGCAGTCACCTTCAATATAATGAGATAGAAATATATCATGTGAATGTTACTGCAACTAGCAAAGCCGTAGGTGTGTTAAAGAAGAGACACACATACCCTCTACTAATATTTACTCTGGCAAACAACAGTATGATTGATGACAGTAACAAATAAGGCGAAAATGAATGCAGAGAATAAGAAGAATTATTTATTTTTATTTTTTAGATTAAAAAAACCAAGAAGAATATTGTTATTGAGTTGACAAAAAATAAGATGAATATGATATTAATATGAAATTTTAAATACAAAAACAGAATGTTCTTGTGGCCTTTTTTGATTTTAATAGAGTAAAGTAGGATTCTTCTTCTAGTATGGGAATATAGAGGAACCGTTTAGTAGATGATTGTTGTCATTGTTAGTTATCCTTCATTCGATGATTTTTTTTTCGATTTGTGTGGACGAAATTTGTTCTTCAGATTATTTTCATTTAAATCATTCTTTTTTTGTTGCTTTTGGTGTTGTTGATTATTTAACAAAGTGTTACTTTGAGAAGATGATAATACAGTTGACGGTTTCTTTAAGAAATCTTGTGCTGTGTATTGATATTCATATTGCGATCTTTTAGATGGAATATTTTGATAAAAGATACAACCAGCTAAATAAAGATGTATTTTTTCACACATAGATGCAGTATGTATTACCAACTGCATTGCCAGTTTTCCTTGAGTTGTTGGTCGAGCTGCGATTTGATGCTTTTTACTAAAATTACCAGGATTCTTATCTTGACGAACACGAGACCAATCAAAATCATTTTTAAATGATGATTCTTTAAGTTCTTTGACATTTTTTTTCCATTGCTTTTTATCAGGTGTTTCTTCCTTTTTACTAAGTTCTTCTGGATTAAATTTATAAATTATCATTGCGTGATGTCCTTTAAAAACAGAATTACGAGTAATAAACCAATCATAACAATCATAATAGCAGGGATTGAGATAAAATGCTCCATGTGATGAATAATCAGATGGTTTATCACCCATTTGTGGACCTGTTTCAATGATATTTTGTGCATTATTCCAACTTGTTGCATGAAACCAATATTGTTGTTCATTGTCGGTACCTCCACACATTTTAGTTAGGTCGTCTAAAGCAATTTGATGTTCTTGTTCGTCTGACATACTCATAGTTGCTCGAGACTGATTCCGAATATAATATTTTGGTAAAGATTCATTTGAATTATTTAAACAAACACGAGCTAATGACCATGTGTTTATTCCATAGAAATTTTTACTGTTGTTTGGATAATCTTTTCCCAATGGATCTATTAATATCAATTCACCGATACTGCGCTGATTTTTGTCGTCCACATCTCTACAAAAATATAATCAAAGAGTGTATTGTAAGTAAAAATCCGAGCTGGTATTTAGCATCTTGATTATTAATCTATGTCAAATGTTTTATTTTATGAATAAAGTACAGATTAACTATTCTTTTGTAGATAAAATGAAAAATTGACTTAAACAAAAGAGTTTAAGAAAGATTGTAGATGGCCTAGAAAACAGGTCTTCTAATTTCACTAATCTGAAGACACGTCGGAAGTTGAATACTAAGTTTTATACATGAATTGATAGTATTCAAAGTCATATTTCATTCTATTTGATAAATGTATGAATAAATGATTACAAAGAGTATATGCAACTGAACTGAAAAACTCATTGATTTATTAAATAGAACAAAATAAACTGATCAAAGAACTCGATTTTAATTATATGAAACTCAACTGTAAATAAAGTGGATAACGATCAGAGATGGGACCGGTTCGGTTTCGAACCGAACCGAACCGAACCGACTCGAAATCGGTTCGGTTCGAGTTTTTGAAAAAGTAGAGCGGTTCGGTTCGGTTCGAGACATTTAACTCATTCAAAATTTGATATTCAAATACACTCGTTAGATTGTTGTAAATTTTGGCTTGGTTCGGTTCGGTTCGGTTCGGTTTGAGATCTTTTCGGTTCGTTTCGATTCGGTTCGAGAAAAACACGAACCGATCCCATCTCTGATAACGATGATCAATTCGATGTTGAGAAATATTTTCTGTATTGTTTAATAAAACAAGTTTAATTGAAATCTTACTTATTTATCGAATTCGCATTGGGTGATGTGTGGACCTCGGGGACTGATGGGGGATAACAAGTAGTAGATAAATATTGATCTGAATGTGGTTCTTCTGAGCCAACTTCTTCATTGTGAGAATCTGCCTCGCATTGGATAGATATTAGAATATCACTGAATGAACGACAGAAATTGGTTTCAGATTGACGACTATCATCAGGATTGAGGTTATTTGGTATATTGTCTTCTTGGCTGATTTGTTCTACAAATTATACAAAGAAACTCTTTACAAAAAATCTTTGTTAATAAATTATGTGCATATAGGATTTTCTTGAGACGCTATACTAACAGGTATGGGCAAAAGTGAAGTAAAAGAAGAGATTCTTCTTTCAAAGCTATTTATTTTTATGAGCAATTGTTGCAAGTTATGGTGAGGTGATGTTATTACAAAGTGCTATTCATATTCGTATTCAAATAAACCTCCCTCTTTTATTTACATTCAGACTGAAATTTAACGAATTATTGAATAATAAAAATCTTATACTATAATTGTGGAAGAATCATCTTTGCCTTTGCTAGACATTTTGAAATAATTTACCTTCGGTACAGAGCATGTTGTTTTGTTCACAAAATTTTGTAAAAGGCATCTATATGGTAGTTGACTATCACTTTATATAGCTGCTATTGTATGCTCTCTTTTCTCTTTCTTTTTTTTTTGTTATTTTTTCAATTCTGACAAAGTAGCACTACCTCGATAATCCTAGAAAATTATTTTCTTTCATTCATAATAAAAATTATTTTTCAATACAAAGAAAAAACAAATAAAAAAAGTATTCTCTTGTTTGATACATTAGTTTTGCGCATAAATACGAATTCTTTTTTCTGTTTCTCTTCGTACGAGCAGGGATGTCTATGACGGCACTCTATTTTGTTCAACCATCGCGGTCGCAGTGCGGCAGAGGCAGTTTATTTTTTTTATCGTCGCGGCGCGGCGCAGCAGCGGCAGCTGCTATAAAAAAATTTGTTTTTTAAAGCTCATGAATTTAGACATAATTTCGATGTTGGTGTATACTGCGCTGAAAGACTTAATGCGCTTAATCGATTACTGGCAGCAGCTTCGATTTAAATGGCTCAGAGTCTTGAAAAAACGGAGGTTTTAAAGAATATCATCGCAGTAGGTTTTTTTATTGAAAACCGTCGCGGTGGGTGTGGGTGTGGGTGTGAGAGAGTGAAGATAGTTATACCCGCACCCAGCCACAGCCTCAAAAAATCTCCATTAAATGAATATAATACTGACAAAAGTTTATTTATTATTGGTGAATGCTACCAAATTTTAAATAGTCACAGATTAGCACTTGAATATTACAAACGAGTATTATATATCTACGAATAAAGTTGATCTAATTCGTATGAAGAACTTCAATAAGTCAAAGATACAATTCAAAATTTACATAATCATGAATAAATCTTTTTCATTTATATTCGATTTTTTTTCTGAAGCAAAACTTCTCTTTTATTGCCAGATATGTTATCGGATCCAATCCTTGATTCACATTTAAGAGAAATTTCAATATCTGATTGAGTTTTTTCATCACAGTTTTTATGCTTGGAAATAGATTAACGCGATATAAAAGTGATGACAATAGTATCGATAGTACATATTCTAAATAGACATGGCAATATCGGAATAGATAGAATCACTGAAGAGTAGTTTATAGAGATAATTGATATTTGATCTTTTCTTAATCTCATTTAGTTCAACTTAAGAGAAACAAATTTGATATTTATGACTTCTAACTGAGTAAAAAAACAACTCTTTTTACATTAAAAAATGTTGATACCATTCGGAAAAATTCTCATCGTTATCAAAATATTGGATTAAAATAAGAAATTTATTATAATATCAAATTCAAACTAACGGTAAACTATAAAAAATAGCAAATTTGTCATCTTATTTTATAACGTTATATTTAGTTTCTATAATGTTCACCATCATAGAATGTTCTCCTGTAAACAAAAAAAAAGAATTATTGATATCAATTAATAATATTATTTTATGATTTTAAATCACATTTTCAATTGTAGACATTTAAAACGTGATAAAATAACAAACCTGACAAGGTAAGAAAGATCCATTGACGTCAATGATACTTTTTTTTCTACTTTGACTTTAATCACGTTCAATGATTTCTATTTAAATTTATCAGGAGTTTCCTTGATAAAGATTTCGATTTTTCTTTTTGTAATTTTCATCAATCAAATTTCGGGTATTTTGATTTTGTTTTCATCCAAAAGAAAAAAAATATCTTTTCTTTTTGTCCTAAATAAGTCGTTTCGAGAAAAGAATTCATTTTTAGTTCAGTAATTTCATACAATTAACCGAAATTTTGTTTGTGTACAACTTGGAAGGTTGGGTGTCTTTACCCTGACTTTATATTCGTTATGTTCTTCTTTACGATCAAGTTCATTTCAGTATATATCCTATTGGAATAAAAGTTTTAGACGTCTTTTTTGTTTTATCAATAAATTTATTTTTTAGTATAGGTGTGTAACCATCTTGAGTATGAAGGTTCAAGTGGGTGTGAGAATTAGGATAAATAATAGATAGACGTCACACCTAAGGTACATATATAAAGAAAGAAATGTTCAAAGAAGATCTTCATCAAGTTTTGATTTTATGTTTTTCACTTGATCGTCTGAATAACTGACACACTCATTACAGGTTTGTAACGATTTTCTGTCGCATAGATTCCATGAAATCCCCCAACAATCTGACATTGGTCGACTGTACCTTTTCTTTGATCTCTCAATTTTACTGGTGCATTAATGCAGGGCAAATCTGAATCATTGGTACGGTTAATTGTGAGTTCTTCCAAACCAAACAAATGTACTATCCATCCAGTAAGCTTTTGAATGAGTATACGTTTTTGAAATAAGGACGGCCGCAAGGGTGTGCATGTATTATTTTCCACTATTTTTTTCCATTTAATATCACATACTTTAATCCAGAACTCGCCATTGACATTACCTTTGTAGGTTTCGATAAATTGATCGAAAATTGACAATACACCAATCAAATATCCATGAAACTTCTCATCTGTAAATAATTTCAGTTGTTCAGTTTTAATACGAAGTGATTGCCAATCATTTAATGTACCTTAAATATCGAATAATAAAAAGAAATTCAGAAGTAAAATAATGTGTAGGAATATAGGTTATATATTTTACCCATGAAATGTACTTGTCGAATTCCACAAATGCATATTTCACGTTGATATTCAAAGTAAAATTTAAATGTATTCATAATACATGCAGTTGAAAGAATTGATTCTACTTTTCCAGTTGTAGAAAAATCAGCTGTTAGTAATTGACAAATATTATTCTTTGTATTTTTTACAATTTCTTTTTTCATTTGATCATAAAATTCATTCCAGTCATATTTATCATCGAAATTATTTGTAGTTAATGTCATTGCTCCTTTATTATGTTCAACAAAGTTTGATCGAAGTTGTTCAGCATTTTCATTGACATGTTGAGCAAAAAACATACATACTAATAACCACATATCATCAGGTGAAAGAACTATGTCATGATGTCGATAATAAGCCCAAAGAAATGATTCAAGAATGGCATTCGAAGATAGATTCGTATGTGGGCCATTAACAATTGTGTATAATGACTCATATTTTTCTGTTGATTGACGAAATAACTGATTATCTTCTTGCTTTATATTATTTAACCAATACTCTTTCACCGATGTTTTTGATTGAATTGATGAAAACTTCGTTTTCTTTGGTTTTAATTTGCGATCTATAACGACTGTATGTAATGACATACTTCTCGTTTGATATATTCAATTGCAAATGAGCATCAATAGAAATATATATATATATATATTTATCAACTTTAAATCAAAGATTTATATGGCACGTCTGTTGTCATATTTATTTATTGATATTGTGACATGTTTTAATAACACAAAAAACATTCAAAAAAAATACGAGCTGCACTAAGCACGTTCACAGACAAGTTCCTTCTGTTTTTTTTAGCAGTGATCGGTTGATTTAAATTATTAATGATAAAGATTGACATGTTTGACACTCGCAAAATTCAAAAAACAATGCTTGGTTATAAATATTTGTTCTATTTGTAATGCCGCCTATATATCCTCAATCAGTTAATAAAATCAAAAACTATTGTTTTTTTTTCGATCGACAGATGGTTTTCTAAATGAATCTTGTCTAAAATTAATGAATGCCCCAAGAATAATGGAGTTTGCATGAATATTTCTGTTCTATTATCCAATCAATTGAGAGATTCTTTTTTTATCAAAAGATAGTGTTTTAAATTCCCCTACAAAGAGAATGAGTGTGGGATTGTGTGTGTGTGCGTGTGATACTCATCTTATATCCACATCCACATCCATACACCCAACCAGTCGTGTGATAATCTGGATCAATATTTACTTGCTTGTCGTGGTTGTTTCACACGCTAGTCAGATAGTGCAAAAAATAACTCTCATAAAAGACACTATTTTATGATACACAATTTTATTGTAGCAAAAATCTATGGCGTTGATGTGAAACACGTATTTGAGGATAGATAAAGTATAAGAAAGGAGACAATAAAGCCATAAAATGAAGTACAATATTGGAGCAGTATATAGATGAAAGAAATGATTAAATTTTATATATATCTAGAAAGAGTTGAGACTGTAAACCACAACGAAAATTAGGATTAAAACTTGTTTGAAACGCAGAAATTGTACGAAGAAAAACATATCGCCCTTCTCTCAATCAGGTACTGAAAGCTACGATAGTCACTATGATTGATATTCTAGAAAAATTTGCGTATAATAGTCCTTGACTAAGAAATATATTTTTCAAGTATGTAACAAGACTGCTCATGTACCTTGTAAATAATGAAACTGAGTTATGCGTCGTCGTAAAGAAAAAATACTTGATTTGTAGTTATAAACTTGACTTTAGGTTAAATATTTTAGCATCGAAATATCTGCATTTGAGAGCTGATTTAACGAAAGTTCTTCTGTAGCATTTTCTTTTCTAAGGATGACTTACTTTTTATCGTTTTGTGAAGTTTTTGAAAAATCGACTCAAAACCGTCTTAGTTTCTGTATAGATTGAATGAACATACGAACACTATAGATCTTATGTTTGGCATTATTGATATGTATTCAGTTTTTTAGAACTTCCATAATAGTGTACGAGTGGACAAAACACCTTTCTAAGACTGCTTATCTTTTTTAGATAAGTGAAGATTTGACAAAGTCAAAGTTTAGAATTGTCATTGCCATCACTTGTGAATCGGATCAATTTAAATGGCAACTATTCAGGTACATCCGTTTACTGTAACAAATCAACCAAACTCTAAACCAATGGTCAATCCATTTCATGATTTCAATAATGAATGGACGGTAGGTTTGTGTGATTGTTGTAATGATCCTGGTCAATGTAAGTCATATAATAATGTATGTTGAACTTGTTAACAAAGAATTACTAATTACTTTCAGGCTGTTATGCTTATTCATGTTGGTGTTGTTTTCTTGGATCATTAGCTGGAGATATTAATGAATCGAAGACTTCATGTTATTGTCTTGGAAATATACTTGCAGTTTATCGCATGAAAGTTCGAGCTGTTCTTAAAATTCGAGTAAGTTTTAATTTATTTTGCTCGTTCATAATGTATTTCTTTCAAAAGGGTGATTCATTCTCTGATGCCTGTGCTGTATGCTGGTGTCCATTTTGTGCTGCTCTTCAAATGCGCAATGAATTAAGAAATCGTGGTCTGGCATAACCGAGATGAAATAAAACCAAAAAATTAACTTAAATAATAGTTTTTGTTTTTGAATCGATCAAGTTTTCTATTTTTTTGAAAAGAAATTAAATTACATTCTCCTAAGATCTTGCAAAATGTAATATTACGTTTCTTTAACGGTGAAAAAATAGTGCATAAAGCATCTTGAGGGTGTGGGTGTGGGTGTGGGTGTGGATAGGGTATAGGTAGATTTGTGTGAGTCGTTGTATTATATCACACCCACTTCTAGGTGCGTTCAGATAATGAATAATAACATATTGTTAAAAAAACAAAAGACAGATCAAAAGAATAAACGATAACAAAATAGTTGTCAGACATAACTTAAATCATATATGAAAAATAGTCCCGTATTGAATCTTTTAAATAAAGTAGTCAAATAATCGCTGTAAATCATCTTTTCTCCTTCGAACTCTTTATCACTTTCTATTTTTGAGTGGAATCCTCATAAATTCGTTAGAGTAGGAGGATTTTTGTTATACCTCAATGTATTTTAGCAGAAATTTTCGATAATCCGCACCATCGGACAGAACTCCTTCGACTTAGTGTAAACGAACAGAAAATTCACTATGCTTCAGGACCATCACGTAGAACTCTTCCGATATACTATAGCAGAATTGGCAAAACTACATGGTTTAGCATTCATAGACAGAATCTTTTGAATTTCTGCATGAAACAATGGAATTCCTCCGATTCTATATCGTTCATCCGAATCTACTTCTAACATGCATTCATAAAAGCAACTTTTGATGGTTCAGTAATTGCCGACAGAACCTGCTTGACTAAGTATGGTTTAGCATAATATAGCAGAAACGGAGTACTCTTTATAGTTCGACATTATTCTACAAAACTCTTCACAGTTTGTCAACTGCTAGGTTGAATGTATCTCAGATGATCATAATCTTCGAGTAATTTTATGGAGTTGTAGACTGCACACATTACTTTTAACTTCTAAATGTCATATGTTAAACTATGCAGTTTCTTGAGAGATAACCATCTATAAAAATACCAATTTTTATGAACGCTTTCCCGACTGAATAGAATGGTGTATGGAGCTGAAATTTTCAAAACATATCTGATTGAATAAATCTTAGATAATTTTATGCATTGGAAAAATTTATACAAATTTATGATTTCATTTTCATCTGTTTTTTTTTACAATGGGTTTCCGAGTCTGAGCAAATAATAAACAATATTAAAGTCATGAATTTTTATAGAATTTTTCAAGAGACAGTTCAGTTATAAAGTTACTCTTCATCATCTCATCCTATGCTTCGTCATATCTCGTTTTTTTTCGTTCTCTCATACATACGATTGTACTGATCTATCTAATAGATCAACTAAGTACGAAAATAAAAAATGCATTGTCATCATTCTTTTCTCTTCCTTTTTTTTTTCTTTGTATCTAAAGATAGAAAAAAAATGCATCGTCACAATTGCTTTATCTTTCTCTCATTTATCGTTCACACGAGACACTTTTACCATAATATACAAACAAATACATAAAATAGGTATAGTGACAGGACATTTGATGATCTTTCTAGTCCACATAGTTTGATAAGATATATGTTCAGTTTTTCTCACTAATAAGTAACAAATACTTCATATACAATTAAGTATTTAACATGAAGAATAAAGTTGAATGTTGTAAAAGCAAGTGCAAGAGGTAGTGTCTAGCATATATTTGTTGAGTGATAGATGATGATTATATTGTACTCAGTCGGTAGTCAAGTGAGTTGTGCTCTATTTTAGATCATTACTATTCGTAATTAAAATCAACCAAAACAAAAAATGTCGAATCAAGAATATAGATTGAAAGACAGTTCAGGTTTCGATGCACTCATATTACACAAATCAACTGAAATTCCACAACCAGGACGTGGTGAAGTTCAAATCAAGTTTCATGCTTGTTCACTTAACTATCGAGATCTAGTAATCAGTAAAGGAGAGTATGTAGCTCCAGTAAAAAAGAACGTAGTACCAGGAAGTGATGGTGCTGGTGAAATAACAGCGGTTGGTGAAGGAGTAAAACAATTTAAAGTAGGTGATCGTGTATCACCAAATTTCTCTTTAGACTATATAGGTGGAAAATTAACCGAAGAAGCAGCTACATCAGGTATGGGTGGTGATGTCGATGGATGTCTACGTCATTATGGTGTCTTTCCAGCATTGAGCTGTGTTAAAATTCCTATATCTCTCTCTTATGAAGAAGCTGCAACGTTACCTTGTGCAGCACTGACAGCATGGAATGCTCTTTTTGGTTTGCCAAACAAGCAATTACGACTGAGTCAGACTGTTCTTGTGCAAGGTACTGGTGGCGTTAGTATCTTTGGGGCACAATTTGCATTAGCAGCTGGTGCAAAAGTTATTCTTACATCATCTTCTAACGAAAAAATTACTTTTATAAAAAAATATCTTGGTGAAAAGAATGTTTCTACAATTAATTACAAGGAAATACCAGAATGGGGTAAAAAAGCAAAAGAAATAAGTGATGATGGCAAAGGAGTTGATCATATTCTTGATGTTGGTGGTGCAAAGACATTGAAACAATCGTTAGAAGCAATTGCATTCAATGGATCAGTAAATGCTATTGGATTTCTTGCACGTAACAAGAAAGACGACGAGAGTTCATCAATTGGTGATAATGATACATCTATGTATGCATTGAAGAAGAATGTTACTCTACGTGGAATTCAAGTTGGTAGTGTTGAACAGTTTAATGAAATGACTCGGGCTATTGATATGCATCAGATTAAACCTCTTATTGATAAAGTATTCAAATTTGAAGATCTAAAGAGTGCCTATGAACATCAATGGTCTCAACAACATATTGGAAAAGTGGTTATCAAAATAACACCAAATTAATTGCCTAATGCATATTTAATAGATAAAACTCTTCGAATTAATCCTGCATTTTTAATTTGTAGTTTCTACTAGCTTAGTTATTATCAAAACTTTTTTCGTGATCAATAAATTTTGCAAAAAGATTTATATTTAACTGCACTAAACTGAAACAAAATTTAAGAAGTAGTTCGACTATTTATAGTTCTTCGATTTATTTTCTACAAAATAATAAATTTCTTGTGAAAGTCTCATCGTGGGGATAACGGTGTTGTGTTTATTTGTCCACTCTCAAACCTCACACTCATACACACATACGCACGTCTTTGAATCAATCATAAATTGTGATTCATGATTTATTGTCAACAGTTTGAAGGCGCTATCATCACTGCTATTCTACTCCTCCAAAATCTATTCACGTGTGTAATTTGCTAACATATTTCATATTTTTTTCTTGATTCATTGCAGTATTTCACTAAAACGCTACGAGATGACGCAATAGTCATTTATCTATATCCCATCATCAAATCATTCTGAATATATTATCCATTAATCTGTCTACGTATTATATTACTACAATGGCAAATTCAACAGACACAGTAGAAGAACAAATCGATACAATTATTAACTTATTTCATTTTAATATTATATAAAAGAAACAATTGTATATACATCGGAAAAACATGGTAGTGATGAAAATGGTGACGGATCAGAAGGCAAACCATTCAAAACACCATTACAAGTATATTAATCTAACAGTTTATATTGATGGAAAAGATGAAACTAAAGTATAACTAAATATGTATATATTGGTATTTATGTAATATTTTTTCATTTAGAATAAATGGGAATTACTATCAAAGGCTCAATCAAAAAAACTTAAAACTCGATATGAAGATGAAAAACGTAAAAAAAAAGCCGCAGCTGAACAGAAGTAAATTTCAAAACTAAAATAATTCTCTCGGAAGTTTCTTTAGGAAAAAGAACGACCACAACGAGAAAAAAATGTAGAAGAAGCAAGAAAAGTTGTTATTACTGAAGATATATCACTGCCAAAAGCAAAAGCAGTACGTCAAATATAATATTTCAAAAAAAAATTAACAACTATATTTTAGCATAAAATCAAAGCATTACAAAATCAACATGGTGAACGTGTGAAAGTATTTGGCTCGTGCTGATACATTATTTAATGAAGTTTGTTTATTTTCGTCATTTTCATAAAAAAAGAAAAATATAATTCTATTTAGACATAAAAAATTTTACGTCTTCGTTCGATCGTTATACAATGTTTTCGTAATCATTATTTTAATCAAGGTTATTATGAAATAAATAAAAGTTCAAAAATAAGTTCGCTGGATTATTTTTTTTTTCTTCTTTTAATTCAATTATTGTACACACCATGTCTGGAGATCTTCATCATAGAAATCAGCTTCGTTAATTTTCAGTTTTGTTAACATAAGAGAAATATCGTTGATAGTTGTTCGGTCTAAGATCTCACCATGTCGTTCTCGAGTCATCATCTCCCGTAATGCGTTATTGAAATATTCTCGTGCTGTCCAAAATAGAATAATGTTTTCTCGAAATAATCTTAAACCCAGATCACAGACAGGTTCGAGTTTTTGTTCTAATACATAGACTCGATCCATATACATAAGGATGCAGGGAATCATAACCATGCTTCTTTCATAATCATTCCATATTTGTTTGAGTGTAACCAAGAATTCTGTTGAAGATAATCCAGCAAGCCTTCGTCTTACCTACACAAAATCAAAGAAAATCTTACATGAAAAACGAGCATGACGCACCTTTTCAACGAGATGTTCAAGAATTAATTCCCGGGTATTCTCATAGAGTGTTTGGCCATGTTTATGGAGTACCATTTTGTAAGCATCTCGATACAAGTCCTCAAAATTGAGTTCGCCATCAGAATGTGTCAATATTTTCTCCATGGCAGGTTTCAATGAGTTCAACCAGATGGATTCGATGTATTCAAGATCTATCGTAGTCTAAGATAACAAATAAAATATCAAATTGTTATTTTCCAAAATAATAAGTAGAATCATGCTGCTTACAAAAAATTGACGTATTCGCATTTTTCTTTCATTATTGTTTGTGTTCGCTGTTGAGCTCATCGTATGCAGCAATGATGAAATATTTTTGAATAAATTCCCGTCTACAGTAAATGAATCTTTAAAAAAAAAGAAAAAAAGACCTTATGGTTGTATAATACGTATGTACATATGTGTGAGTTGTTTATTTAATGACACGAACAAGAGAAGAAAAAGAATGTATAATAAGGAGAACAAGAACAACAAAAAGATGTGTGTGCGTTTGTATACATGTATAGACATACACAAGTGAAAAGGAAAATGCCATAGTGATTCATGGAAAAATACCATAAGTTACACTTAATATTAGTAAATGGAAAATACCGATATGTAGTATGATTATACATGTTGTAATAATCCATAACAATGGTTAATAATAAAATTGAAACACGAATAATAGTCAAATAGTTGTAAATGGCAGGCTTGCTTCTTATCATTGTTGTTTTCTCCTTTCCTCATTTTCCGTCATATGGTAATATGGAGAGACGACAATAATCCTACAGATAAAGTATGATCATGCGATAAAGTTCTGTTATTGTCTTAGCGAATGTAATGTTTGAGATAAAGATGAAGAGTGGGTGTAGATTTCACATATTCGTGAGATATTCTATCATACTTGCCATCCTCTTCCAGTTAAATCCTTCTCAACAACTTTACAATTTTAATCTCGATCTATATTATTAATATGTGCTATTGAATGACCTTTACCAATAAAATTGAAACACATAAATGTATTGTTCAGCACAAAATACAATTGCAATGCATCTCATTATTTTTTGCATCGTAATATCACTATTATAAGATTCAAAATAAAAGACATTTGATCATTTTTTGAATTACTTTTAAGAAGAACAAGATGGAAAGTTATAATTTTTACCATTCGGAAGAGCGAGACATGAACTATCGATTAACTTCGTATATTGTGTGTATTTTCACGAATACTCGCGGTAATCTCAGTTGTTTATCTTGTTCTTTTTAATAGTTACTCAAAAAAATGATCAAATGCCTTTTATTTTGTATCCAATAATATAATATGAGATTGCAATCCTAATATTCATTTGGCAATATTGTTTTACTAAAATATATATATATCATTGGTGAAAATGCTGAAACGAGCAGAGATAGTTATGAAGTCTTTAGAAAGAAATAAGATAAAAATAAATAAATAAAATCTTAAACAGAACTCAGGTAGGTTTTATAAAAATAGAAAATTTTCTCTTCGAGGAAAACAAAGTTATCGGAGATTGAATGTAATCAAAGCGTAGACTTCCATGTTGCTTCACCGATGTATTCTATGTTCCTGAGAGCGTGAGGGCAGTGAGGATGTGGGTAAAGATAATTTATTACTCTATCTCCCACGCATCCTATTTACAGTTACATCCGAGAGATAAAAATATTCAATAATTTGATAAGATAAATTTAATGAAACATATGCATTCCTGATCCATTCATCTTTTGTCATCTCTTGATCTAATATTTGAAATGAATTTGCTGAAACTCCTTCCATTTCTTTTCGCTATACTAAACTGACTAGAGATCTTTTGCATAATCAAAACTAAGTATTTGTTTTGTGTCATGGTGAAAAATAAAAAAAATTATTTTCGAGATCCGAAATGCATTCAAATAAATATTAGCATGCAGAGTATATAACAAACAATCGAGAATATACAAAATACTTATCACTCTTTCAAATATTTATTTTAACTTTTTCATGTCACACATTCTCTTGCATTTGACACAAAAAAATAAGTAAAAGAATGACAATTTTTTTTCATCATTTGAGTCATGATAATCAGATTAAAATTCAGTTTTCTGTTTCTTGAGAATGTGTATGTGGATGGATGGATATGAGCGTATACTCTTTACCCACATCCCATTAATAAATCTGCAAATGAATTAGTTTTGTTTCCTATTCAACTCATATTGATAAACAGATGGTTGAAATTGTTTTCAAAACTCGTGACATTGTTCTTTTCTCGTTACTGTATAACTTATATTTGTTTTGGACAAAGAATTTAGCTGTCGCATTCTCTTGAAGATCAATGCAAGAAAAACGAGGAGAAACGACAAAATTGTTCGACAAACACACACATTATTTTCAGTTGGCAAGTACACAGTAGTGAGTATTAATTCAATTCTTTTTATTTTACTTTATTTTATAACATAAACTCAGATGATTTTCAATTTCAGTCAAATATCTCTTTTTATCTGATAAACTATTTAGAATTTCTCAAAAAACTCCTTGAAGATTGACTTAGTTTTAATATTCTGAGAAAGATAATCTATGTATAACAAATAAGCTGATTTTTTGATCATTGATAGAGGTACGTTCAAGTTGGATGTGAATGTGAAACTAATGAAACACCCACACCCTTTCTAATGAGAAATATATGTTAAGTGAAATTATCGAGTTATTTTCCTTTAGTGATATAAACCAATACAAACATTCGTTTCAAAACAACACTTGGTTGGTATTCGTGACATAAACAACTATTCTTAATCTGTAACAATAGTAAAGTTGTAATGCAGTTTTCCCTATCTAAATTCTTCTTTCGACAAAAGTGTCGTTTGATATTTTTTATATTGGTTATAATCGTACTAAGTATCGTTTATTATCCGCAAAAGATATTAACCGTTCCAACAACCATTACTAGAATAGACGTACCGGTGATCTTTCCAATATTGAACTTATCTCCAAACGTAAATATCGTTGATCTACGAAGTGAAACGAAAGAAAATTACACGTGTATTAAAACAAAACGTTTGTTCGTCATTCAAACAACAATCTGTCTTCATGATTTTCGAGATGCAGTTAGCAGAAGAATGTTTATGCAAAAAATCTGGGAAGAAGATCTTCTGCATAGATTATTACAGTTTATGAAAAAATATCCTCAAATGAATTTCATCGATGTAGGAGCAAATGTTGGAACGTATACAATGTTCGCAGCTTCCTCTGGAAGATATGTAATATCAATCGAATGTTTTAAACCAAATATCGATCGAATTCGTAAAGCAATTCAAATTGAAAAACTTCACGATAAAGTGACACTTCTAGGTAATGCGATTTACTTAGAAACTGGCCGTTATTTCCAAATGAAATCTAATCCATTCAATATTGGTTCACAAGCAGTGATTACAAATAGTACAGTTAATCAATCGGATTATAACGATATTTATGTCGTGAAAACAATTCAATTTAATGATATTCTACCGGTGTTAAAAGCAAAGAATATTCAACATGCTGTGATGAAAATTGATATTCAATGGGCAGAGACGTATCTTTGTCAAGCTGGAAATCAAATTTTTGATTCAGTGAATATTCCTGTCATTCTTGTCGAATGGGATATTGGTGCACGTTTTTATGATCGTCTACGATATCTTTTAAAATATTTCACCCGACGTGGATACATTCCAACTACCGATATGTGTAACATTTTGCCTGAAAGAGAGGCTCTTACAACATGGCCAACACATTTGTATTGGATGAAGATGAATCTTACCGAAATTTGTTAATGGTGATTAAAAACTGTTCATACAGGACATTGATATAGATTGAATGAAATGATAGACATGAGAAAAGAATCAGTTTTACAGATAATAGTGGAATTTGATCCACACACTGTGTATTTGCTTTTCTTTTTCTTGTTTCCGTCATTACATTAATAGAAACTAATGCAGTTATAACGATCTTTCCATTATTTTAAATTGATCTTGTTTTTTTCGAGAATATATCATCAAAAGTGAAACAGTAGTATTAGAGAATACCCTATATGATGATAGAAGAATGAATTTAAAAGTTTTCAGATCTATGAAAGACATAGTTCACATAAAGATTATAAATTTAGTGTAAAACAACTTGACCCAGGGCTTGTAAATCTTCTCTCAAGAAAACAATTTATTACACATTAAGAAGAATATGATGAAACAAATTGCGTCGCCTGCAAAAACCATATAATTTTTTGTTTTTTTCCGCTTTATAAAATATTTTATTCCTTTGAATTTTCTGTTAAAAATCTAATTATCTCGAAAGCTCTAAGAAAAGAATAAAAATTATGTTCATAATTATCTGCAAAGTACTTTGTGTAAAAAATAAGGATGAAACACTTTTTACACATCGATGATGCAAGAACAATTATTATTGTAACTAATTTGTATTTTGGAAAATCAGGAAAATAGATTTTCTACGCTAACATATAAATCTAAAAGCCCGTCAATTAAAAATTTCATTTTCGGTTGAAAGCATTATTTTATTAGAGAACTAATTGGAAGAGAGAGTGTATCATTATATTAATTTCCATTCGAAAATATGTCGTCGTCGTCGTCAACCATCGATACAATAAATTTCATTTCTAACCAAATTTATATGTATGGTTCTCTCTGTATAATTATCACTGGTCTTTTTGGTAATTCCATTAATATTATACTATTTTCATCAAAAAAGTATAGAGCTAATCCATGTTCTATATATCTTCTGGCAACGCAGACAGCTAACCTTTTTGCAATTCTCTTATATATGCTACCGTATGTTGTTGATTCTTTTAATGGTAAGAATGGCACAGAAACTTATCTTTGGTGGTGTAAATTGGTAAATTATTCTGGTGATGTCGGTTATACCCTCTTGGTTCTAGCACTTTGTTTAGCATCCATCGATCGATATCATGCCACTAGTCGTAATGCTCGACTTCGACAACGAAGTTCAATGAAGGTGGCAACAATTTCGGTCACAATTATTACATTGATATCGCTTCTGTTAGCAATTCCTGACTTACTTTATTGGTACATCGACAATAGTTTCGGTTATCCAATATGTATTTATGATTCAACATTCTACTTTATATATAGTTCGTACTTTCTTGGTGTATTTCTTAATATGTTCGCATCTCTTAGTCTGCTGCTTATATTTGGTGTTCTTACATACTACAATCTTAAAAGTGTTCAACACGCTAGCGTCCGTAATAGAACGGCTGTTGTCAACGTTGGTACAACAGCACATACTGCTTCTATGAATACTGGTATACCAAACAATAATAACGGTAATCATACTATCATACAACAAAACGATACACAGCAGGCAATGAAGACAAGCAAACAACGTATTGATACACAATTTTCGGTGATGTTAATTTTAGAAATATTATGCTATGCTTTTGCAACTGTTCCCCAATGCATCCAGTTCATCTACACACAAGCAACAGTGAACTACATAAGAAGTGATATGAGCCAAGCAATAAAAGGGTTCTTCGTAACTTTAATCTACGTTATCAGTTGTACACCTTTATGTACTAGTTTCTACATTTATTATTTTTCTTCTTCAACTTATCGTCAAAATATTAAGAAGATATTATGCAAGAAAAGACAAATTTGGCCGAGACATAATTAACTATTAACATTGACTTAGAACACGATATGTGAGCTAAAAATCTTCCATATAGAATATTAACTTCTCTCGTTGTCTAAATGTCATTATATCTTTACTTACAACTGTATATTTTATTTATCTCAATAAAGAATAATATAGTTGATTTTATCATTCTTTTATCCATTCAGTCAGAGTTTATTCGAAATATCCTTGATAATCTAATGAACGATTACTAGTTTTACTTCAATCGAAATTTCTAGCAAAATCTTTTTCCAGACATCAAAAGCACAACTCATGTCAGATATAAAATACGCTAGATTTACGAGTAGAAGTAGAAAATCATGAATTCATTAGTTTGATGTGAATATGTAATAGTTATAATTAAGATACGAGTTGATGATATTCATCATAATGATATAAAAAAATAAAAAATGTTATATGGTAATTTTAATTAGACTTAGATAAAAAAAAAGAACGATCATGAGAATTATGGTAACACCTGTATATTATTTTTGTCTGCACTAATAAAAGAGTGATTCGAAAAAAATCGGAAATTCATCGGTTGAAACCTGATAGAAGTTCCTTCATTTGTCTTGCATTCTTCGTCGAAAAACTTTTTTATGAATTTTCCTCTCAAATAGTTGGAAGAATATCTTGTAGATATATCTATAAAAAGCTTTCAAATTGTCAATAATGCAAAAGTGTGCTCACTATAGTATATAAATCTTGATTGTAGTCGAAAATGTACCAACATGATATAATGTGTTTTCAAAAATAACTAAAAATCAACAAATACGTGAATATCGATTACACCATTTTTCAGATGTTCTCTTTTAGTTTTTTCTCAAATATGATTGATCCTGATAATCTATAATTTGGACAAATACAATGTAAATTGGAATATCGATATGGGTAGATGAGAATGTATTTACAGATGAAAGTAAGTGAAAAACTCATATCCACATCAATCCTCAAAACAAAACGTCTCCTATTCTATTTCGGAGATCTGAAGGTGGCCGTATAAAATTCGTTTCATTATTTTGTTAAAGGTTCCAGCCTATTGATTAGAATCAAACATCTTCGACATTAAAATATGGCACATATTTAATTGCTAAATAAAAATATACAACTGCTAAGTAAAATTTGTATGTACTCGGGAAGTAAGTTGAATGTTCGATGAATTTATTGAATGCTCATTTAAAATAATATTTCTCCGTCTTTGAAAATTTTTCTAAGTGTATTAATTGATATATATGTTAAATTTCTAACTATTAGGTAAATTTATTGAATTTATCGGTTAAAAACACATTTTAGCAAGTAAAAAACCATCTTGAAGGTGTGGGTATTGTATTCGAACCACACTCACACCGAACAGTTTTATACACTTCCATATTTATTACTTAACAAAAGTTAATTTTTTGATTCACAAAAACTATTTATTTACTTGGTCTTTTTTCAGCATTTTGCCTAGAAAACTAAATGTTTTCGTTGAGAATTTATATAAATTACTTAGCGCTTAAATAGGTGCCTTAAAATATAATATTGACAACAATTAAAAGACAAAAAATAAACAAATATATATTTGATGTAAAAAAAGCATCGAAATTATAGAAATTTAATTCGATAAAAGAATTTTTACATTTACCGATGAGAATAGGCGATCTTGTTTTACGTCGAACTGAATAATTACTGAAGTTTAGTTTTCATTTTCTTTCAAATAGATTATATAGTAAGAACGAGATAAAAAAATCGAAAACTCAATTTTTTCTTTTGTATTCTTTTCGTGGTTGTGGATATCGATACTGCATCACTCTCCACCTCCACACCTTCAAGAAGATAGTGAAGATAAACCGAAGTAAGTTTTATACAACAGCTTCATACAGAAATCAATTCAATTAAATTCAAAATATCTAGCAGAATTTTGCTGCACAACTAATTAATATAATAAAATTGAAAATGATCAGTGTAGTTATCCAAGTCTTTTGCCCCGACGTAACTGATTTATCATTCATTTCAATATATATATATGTAGCTCTCTAGTCATATCTGAATCTTATTACTGAGCTTTTCCCTAGACTGAAAAGGATAGGGTCTAGAAACGGGAATTATCTTTTTACATGTATTATTTTTGTCGGTAACATGGCACAAGTGACCATTTTTTAGGCACAAATGACCATTTTTTTGGCACATTTGACCATTTTTTAGGCGCAAATGACCATTCTTTGGCACAAGTGACCATTTTTTTGGCACATTTAACCAGTTTTTTGGCGCAAATAACCATGTAACTATGGTATATTTTTGATAATATAATTTTATTTGCTATTATCGTTTTATTTGAATAGCATAATATTTAATATATAATATTTTATTCAATCGTATGAGTAGAGCGCTAACTTAAATATCTAAAATATTTCTTAATTATATATATATATATATATAATATTTTATATAATGGTATCAAAAGGGCGCGAACTTAAATATATGAAATATTTCTTAATTATATATAGATCATTATTTTATTCAATAAATTAAAATAGTGTGCCAAAGCCAATTTACTTTTAATACGAAGAAAGATGAAAATAATATTAATAACAAAAAAACGAAACGTTCGTGTACAGAGTATTCTAAAGCTTTGAAAAACAATTTCACCTATTTTTCTATAGCATGTTATTTATCATCATCGACAAATATTTCTAACACATGTTTGAAAAAAACAATGATGTACCGAAACGTCCTGTACGACGACTTATTAAAATAAGACCAATAATGAGAAGCTTAAAAACATGCGCATTGTAATTTGATCATATTAAAAGTCTAGTAGTTGCATTATTGCAAAACATTTTAATGAATTTGTAAGTTTAATAGTCTTGCTATAGTGCATATAGATAAGAGAGTTCAAAATCAATTTTGATATACAATGATAAAGAGATCTCCGCTGTAGTTTTTGTTTTGAAATCTTATTTTTTATAAAATTGACTGTAATAAAGCTAAAGCATTTTAAAACTTTATTATTCATTCGTCAAATATGAAACTTTTAGAAAATGCTTGATTTTAGATAAGGTAGAAATTCAATTTGATTTTCTGCTGAGAATCAAAACTAATCTTGATTAACTCTCATTCGTATCTAAATACAGGTATATTAGCATGTAGACCGCGACAGTCTAGGGCCAAGTGAATCGACTTTCGATGAACGCTACTTGTATCTACTACGTCTTCTAATACATCGATGTGTATGTACCTTATAATTATATAGATTCGATTTTATTATATGATTTACATTTTCTGATATATTCTATTCTTATATTATATCATGTTACCTGAATAAATATTATTCTAAACACCATATTATCTGTTATAGCCTTGGCTTCGCTTGACAATGATTTTTAATTATAAAAATGAATCAGGTATAAACAAAGTAATTGTAAGATATTTTTTCTTTATATCAAACAGTATAGTACGATCAATCAATACAACAATGAAACCGTTTCTTTTTATGATATCGATAACCAATCCTACCTCACCTATTGTGCCTCTTTAACGATATCCATATTTTCTCTTAATCCGTTGGACTCCTAAAAACAATGACTACACGTGATCATTGTGTTCGTTTTTATATTCTCAAACGTACATACCTTTAGAATCAAACTATTAGACTCATGACAACAGCAGTAGAAACAACTGGAAAAGTTCATTGTGTTACGTGTGAACAAGCAAATGTTTTATATGCATGTGAAGGTTGTTCACAACGTTTTAGCTTTGATCATTTGAAAGATCATCGTCGAGGACTTAATAGACAAGTGGACACAATAACAAATGAGCGTAAAAATGTTGTACAAATATTAACTAAGCAAAAAACTGAACCACTAAATCATTTTTTAGCAAAACAAATTGATGATTGGGAACGTAGATCAGTTAATAAAATCCGAAGAGCAGCAGATGAAGCAAGAGATTTATTTCTCACATACGTTTCGGAATATATTAGTGAATTAGAATTTGAATTCACTGATTTATCTCCACAGTTGACACGAATTAAACAAGAAAATGTAATCGATGAGATTAATTTAAAGGAATCTAAACAAAAATTACTTCGAATAAAAAAAGAACTTGTTAAACTACCAAATATCATACTTCAACAAGATCCTTCACCTTTTGTTTCGAAATTATTTATCGTCGATTCACGGCGTAAGTGTTTTAATTGCGTTGGGTGTGGGGTGTGGGGTGTGGGTGTGGCTATCGCTATAGTTATGAGATGAATATAAAACCCACATCCTAAATTTTCTATGTGCACTTCTCTAATTAGTACATTACCAGGATGACTAATAATCCTGAATATTGTTATTATTTGGCATGAAATTAGTTGTTTTTCATATTTGTATACAGGTGTAAATAGACAAGGTGATGTAAATCTTCAATATCATCAACAATTATCTCCATACGATAATCCATCATTGAGAGGTAGTCGAAAAAATTCAACAACTAGTACAATTAATTCACGACATAAACCAGCAGTTCATTTATTAAATGAACCTGATTTTAGTCATCAAGGAAAAAGTCCTGTTCAACCACTGATGGATATAAGCACATCTGATATGAATAATAAAGTATTACGTGTTATTAAATCAAGTTTAAATAAACTTACGACACAAACATATGATAAAATACAAAAACAACTTGAAACGTTAGAAATCGATCGTTATGAACAGTTAAAAGGAATGATTGATATATTTTTTTTAAAAGTAAATTATCATTTTTTTTTATTAAATAAAATTTATATTTTTTTTTAATTTTAGGCTGTTGATGAACCAGCATTTTGTTCTCTATACGCTAAATTATGTAGACAATTTCAAAAAGTTTGTTTTTTATTTAATTTTGATGATGTTATTTCTTTTTTTTTCTTTTACTTGAAGAAACGAGTAACTGCACTCGGTCAAGATGGTAAAACAGTAACATATTCTTTTCGTCAAATATTATTAACACGTTGTCAAACAGAATTCGAAAATGATTATCGTCAAGAAATTGGCTATGAAAAACGAAAAAATGAACTAGGAGCTATTACCGATCAAAAACAACGTGCAGAAGAAGCTGAAAAATTAGAAGAAGATCTTATTAAAGCTAAATTAAGAAAATTAGGAAATATTTTGTAAGTATATTTATTAATTAATAAACAAAGTCTAGAACATTTTTCAAATTCGAATTTTAGTTTTATTGGTGAATTATTTAAATTACAAATGTTAACTGATAATATTATCTATGGTTGTATTGAATATTTACTTTTTGGTAAACCTGGTGAAGAAAATCTTGAATTTTTATGCTGTCTCTTACATACGATTGGTAAAGAACTTGATGATAAAGTCAGTGAAAACGTATGTTTTTATTCTATTGAATTATCATTGTTATTTCATAGTCTTCAAATGAATCCAAATTGGATAAATATTATCGTGAATTAGATAATATTAATAAAGAACGTAGAACATCAGAACGTATTTATTCTATGATACATGAGCTTTTAGAATTAAGACGAGTAAGTTGTTAAATAAAAAGTTTAAATTCAATAGAGATAAATAATCGATTAGGCTTCATGGGTTGCTCATCCTGTCGAAGAAGCAAATCCGACAACGATTTATGAAAGTCTTGGACAAGATCGCGATCAACAACAACTTCATGGCACTACAACTGGTACTGCTCATCCTAGAAATAGTGAAGATAAAGTAGAAAATAGTTTAAATGTTAGCGTATTAGAACTATTACAATCAAATGATAAACAAAGTCAAAAACAAGCAGTAATTAAATAGATATAATAATATCGAATAAAAACAAATTGATGTATTTTTATAGACTGTTGGTTTAGCACCAAAACGTTCATGGGCAGAACGATCTGAAATCGAAATAAGACTTGAACAAGCTCGTTTATTAGCTGAACGGTAAGTAAATTAAATAAGTCATAGACAAGATTATTTAAATTCATTTTAGTGCTAATAAATCACCTGCTGAACCAGTTCAACAAGTAAAAATTGAAATTAGTTCCTCTCAAGATGATCTATCGTATCCTCTTCAAGGTCAATCACCATTTGTAAGAAAGAATGCAATTCTTTTTCAAATATTTTCATTTCTGACTTTTTTAGGAACTAGCACGTGAGCATAGTCATCGTGATCGTGAAAATGCTTTACAATCTTTACGAAAAACAATTACTGCTAGTGGAATAAATAGTTCAGTAGATGCTTCTGTTAGTTCATCTATAACAATTTCATGTGAAGATTCATTTAATATTTGCCGTAAAGAATCTTGTAATATATCACATGCATCAAGTGTCAGTGAACTCACATCGATTTCTAGTGTAACACCTCAAACGAGTAAAGTATTTATAAAGTAATTAATTAAGGTCTAATCAATGCTTCATTTGAAGGAGAACAAACTCAAGCTCGTGTTCATTCACTTGTTGAAGAATATACTGAAAAGTATCCATTATTTAGCGATCGACCTGTTAAAGTAAAGATTTTTGTTTTTCTTTTGGAAAAAAATATTTTTTCTATTTGAAATATTAGGAAGGATTGCAAGATTTATTTGCTTTTTACACACCAAGCCATGATCAACAAGCAATTATTGTTCGAGAATTATTTAAGAATAATTTAGAAGCTAAACCACTAGCTCGACAAGGTGCTGGACATTTACTTAATGCTACACTTAATGGAAGCATTATATCTACTGACGCTTTTATTTCAGGGTATGTTTTATTAGAAAAAGCAAAAACAAAAAATCGAAATATTTTTTTTTCTTAGTTTTAAAATGATTCTTGAAGTTGCAGTTGATTATGCAGTTGACGTTCCTGAAATCTGGCAGTATTTTGGTGAAATAATTGGTATGTTAAGTGATTTCTTTTTTCCTCATTTAATTAAAATATTTTCTTGAAATTTTAAGGTGCATTTATTGGTGGTTCAACTTCAAATATGTCATTAATAAAACCAATTTTACAATCTGTCCCAGAAGATATATCGAACGAATTATTTCAATATATTATTCACTATGCAACGGAATTTTCGGTAAAATTTATTTCTAATATGCTTCAAGTAATTGATTGTTTTCATCTATTTTTAGTCTCAATCACGTTTACAAGAATTCTGGCAAACATCTGGTATATCTATTAAGGATGTACTTAAATCTGATCGTATTGATCCTTCATTTATGGAAGCATATGATTGGTTATTTGCTACACCTGAAAATGAACCTTTAACAGTTCAAACAAAAGAAAATGTTTCTCCACGTGCTGATTCTCAACTTGTTAAATTATTTAAATCTGTTAATGATCAAGGTACAACAGTAACTGATCAGGAAATTATTACATATATTTCTGAAGTAAGAAAATTAAAATAATTAAATTTTGAACTGTTTTTCTACTAATTTTTAAATAGCATATGGATCCACATGAAAAATTTTGTATTCGAAATATTGTTTTATCTTATTTGGAAGCATGTTTAGATACTCATAGTTCACAAAAGAAAATTCAAGAAGATATTGCAAGAGAACGAATGACTATACTCAATGATATTATTGAACATGACCCAGAAGTAGAACTTGAAGCTGTTTATGCTATTCAAAATTTTGTTAATAAACTTGGAAATCCACCAAGTATGTTAAATAATATGAAATTAATATTATTATTGATAGAAGATAAATTTTTATTTTTATAGAAATGGCTCGACAATTATTTCATATATTTTATGATGAAGAATGTATAAGTGAAGATACATTTTATGATTGGCTCGACCAACCCGATCCATCTGATACTGAAGGTAAATTATATTTTTTTAGAAGACAATCATATACGTTTTTTTTGTCTAGGACATGCTGCTATTAAAAGGTCTACGAAAAGTTTTTTTTCTTGGTTACAACAAACCGAAACAGAAGGGGAAGACGAAGAAGAAAGTTAAATTAATATCATCAACCCATGCTGACGATTTGTTACTTTTATTTTTTCTTTTTCTCATTCTCTTTATTTATTTTCTGTTACGTAAAAAAACCATGTTATATCTAAATACAACGCATGTGATTGATTATAGATTATGTGGGTGTGAGTACTTAAATTGTATTGAATCTTTCTATTCAGAAGATTCGGCTTAAAATCAAATAATTATTTAAATAGTTTTTCAAAATTTCCATGGTATGAATTAGAGACTGTTTATGTGCATCTCAAAATAATACATCATCACATGGTTTTTTTCCGTTCTTCAAACGATTGAAATAATAAAAAAATATAAGGAACTATTACGACTTAAAATTTTGTACATTTCATAATGTTCTTTCGCTTGTGTTGTGACAATAATTTTGTTATATAATTATTTTCTCTTTAATCATACACATAAAAGAAATAGACAATAACACCATAAATTTCATCAATCTCTTTGGCTCAATTATTTAATTGTGGTGAGTTCGATGTATTAAGAGCATTTAAAAAATAGAAGATAGGACTATCATATACGTATATGTCGGTACGAACAAGAACAAAAATCAATAAGATATATTGTCTCCACATATCGTTAATATAACTTTATACAACTGTACTATGAAAGAGAGAGTATAAAGTTTTTACTTAGAAAATAAAGGTTTTAATTCAGTAGATTGATAAACACCAGATGATGCTATATGGGTGGATATAACTTGAAATTTGAATACAAGTATGTGGAACGAAACAAAAAGACATAATATGTATATTGACTTCTTTCTAATAATAATAACTAATGAATAAATTCTTATATTTCTGTAGATTATCTTCATAGAATGGATATTCTTCCATCTCGTAATCGCCTTATCTGATTTATTTTTCTGATACTCTGTTTTTTCCTATGGTTTGTATCGAAAACAATTGTCAAAAACCACTTTAATAGCACACAATCTCCATTTTCATCTATTTCTCCTCGTCATTACACAGCTAATCTTTCTTCTCTGTGGACAGAATTGGATTATCAACTTTGGAAACAAGAGAAATATTTTCCTCATAATAATCCAAGAGGTAGTATTATTTACATGATCATGACAGGTAATTCATTCTTACGTTCCCGTTGTGATATAATTATGTGTACTATTGGAATTACACTACATCCATCTCGTTTATTTTTCGTTGGCGAAACATCATCTGATAGTCGTCTACCAATATATGATGTGATTACGTCTGATACACCAAGACCTATCAGTCGTGCTGGAAGTATGCAAAAATTAGCACAAGGACTTGCAATGATTAGCGAGAAAATAAATCAAAGTAAATACAAAAATGAATTACAATGGATTATGGTTATGGATGATGATACTTTTGTGTCTCCACCAAATTTAGAATTATTAGTTTCGGAATATGATTCTCGACGTTCTCTTATGATCGGTCAATCTACTTGTGGAGTAGGCTTTTGTGGTGGAGGAGGATATATTATTTCTAAAGCTCTTTTCAATCAATTTCCATCGTTTATTAGACAATGTCGACCATCATTTGAACTTTCTCAAAGTGATCAATTTATTCCACAATGTATTAAGAATAGAACACACGTTGAAATTATCGATAGAAAAGAGTTTAACTCTCAACCACCTGAATTTTATTCTACAGAAGCTGGATATAAAGATCATCCGAATGGCTTTGGAAGAGCAGTCAGTTTTCATTATATAAGACCAGCTACAAAATATATTGAGCTTTGGCGATTGCATCAAGCGTTTATGAGACCAAATTAGTTCACTTATAAATAAAATTAGTACTCGATTAATCCTGATCTAGTATGAAAAATCAAAAAACATTAAATTCTATTAGAGGATGTGAGTCAGAGGTCGTCATGGTCTGGGATAAAATTTATGTAATAAAAGAATTTGTGTATATCAAGAATAGAAATAACGAATATTTGTTTTTTGATTTTTAAAGTATTACTTGAGAATAATATTAAAAATAATTACAGAAAATTTGAAAAGTATAATATGAGATTTACTCTAGACATATTATTTGACACCTTAGCGTTTATAGCTGAGATGAACATGAATATAGTATGAAAAAATAATGTCTTCAAAACTGATCATTCTCGATAATTTATTATCTATAGTACAGAAATGTTGGAACAGTAACATAAAAATTAGTCTCGTAGGCACCATTTAGTTACTATCAATATATGTGTAAACTTTAAAAAGAAAACTACAATTCTCAACTAAGGATCTATTATGTTATTTCGTGTCTTTTAAAGAGATAGAATGCAACATTTTCTTCATATGTACATTTACAGTTTAAGAAATTATTTCAGCAGAAAACTGTTAAGAGTTTTTCGATATTATTCTTTTAAAATCATCAGTAATGAACCCGAGACGTTAGAAAGTGGGAAATCATTTTTCTCAACTTCTTCAGATAAACTGAATGATTTTCTAAGTATTTGAAAATCTTTTTTACTATTACTTAGATCTATCGATTTAGTTTATTGCTTTTAAATAGAAATTTTCTTTTCTTATACTTTAGTTCGTCGTAAATTTCAGATTAAAAAGACAAATAAATCATTTTTCAGAAACCGATTGAACAAATAATATAAAATATATATTAGCATGATAATATACATCTGAATAAATAAAAAATTAATGGGATGAAGGACAATAACTTTGATGAATCATTTTTTACAACAACGATGTATATTTCATACAAAGAAAATATAGTGTGATGTATTTTCTTTCCATCTGTGCGATAAATAACAAAGAAAAGAATAATAACGTCGATATCAACAAAGTGAATGAAAGAAAGAAGAAAAGAAAAAAAAAGGTATATCTAGAGTGTACATTGTTTGACTGGCCACCAATAGAACGATGTGAATTTATTATCGATAATAAAAGTATATTATTAGATAAAAATATGGCGTATAAGTTAACAGTTTATTTTCTTATGTCTTTTATTAAAAGTCGCTCGTCTGCCTTTCTTCAATACATTTATCATATTTTTAGATAAGATGCGAACAACAATTCGTTGTATGACAACGAAAATGACTTCAATGATGCAAAATTCAATTAAACCAGAAGGTGATGCCTCACATGTATTTGCTTCTCTAGCAGGTGTTGATATGAATAAACCTCTTGAATCTCGATTTGTTCAATTAAAAAAACAAATTATTCAAGGTTACGAACAACAAGTTAAAGATAGTTGGTATCGTTTACTTGATTC